GGAGCGCCACCGCGCTCCCAAGCGGCGCACTGTAGCAGTAAGAAAATCCACTCATAAACTACCTTTAGAAGTCGTAACAGTAAGAAAATCCACACATAAACCCTTACTTTCTGATAAAAGATACGGATTCTACTGCAGAAATAGTTCGAGAAAAGGAAAATACTATTATCAAATCCCTGACAGGTCACCATTTGCAACTTTTTTAAGGGGGTTGCTTCTACTTCACTATGCCACAGGCATGTTGGCAAAGGAAAGAGTTCAGTCTTCAAATAATGGCTCTTTCCAACAATGTCAACCGTTGAAATTTCACTGTATTTTTTCCTAAAAATACAATCTACATTTCAGATTACACATGGTATACAATAATTTGTTTTATTCACTATGCATCTAGGGACAAAAAGCCAAGCTGCAAGGCTATTAACTAAATAATACATGGGATCTCTCTGAAATCTTTACTTGGAGACCCAGAATTTAATTTTGTCACTAAGTTGTTTTTATTTTTGAAGTTATTAGGCAGTGAGATTTTGCTTATTTTTATTTATATTCAAGTGTTAAAAGTGAAACCAAATATCTTGAGATCACAAATATCTCACCTGACCCTATGTCCCAGTTCTAGATTTCAAATAAAATGCACAAGATATTATACTAATTTTTAAAAGAAAATTGAAGATCTGCATGTTACAGAAAAGAACAAATACAGAGATTCACGAGTCCACACAGTATTGTTTTATTTACCTTGTCCAAACATAACGCTAAGAACAGCTGGTCAGATTTTCACACTGAATCAATTTACTCCTCTGAACTCCACTGTACTGAGCCCTAGGCAAAAATCAGCCCAAAACAACCAAGCACTGACCATACCTCCCATCTTATTCTTTCTGTCCATCTTTTTTTCTGTCTCCAACTTTTATTGTGTCTCTACCCCTCCCCATTCATTTTCTTCTCCCAGCTAACATTCCTTAAAAGTCAAGATGGTATAGAAAAAATCTTTTTATATTTAAACTTAACTCTGTGAAACACACTTTGAAACACACCTTGAAATGCATTCATTTGCAGACATCTAGAAATTAGAAAATCAAAGATAAGAAACAACTAGTCTTACAAAAGGAAAAAAACTCAGTAAAGAGGCTGAATGAACTAAGGCGGGGAGGAAATCAACTTCCTTCCAATATACCAGTATTAACCTGCTGGGTAACAAAAATAATACCCTAATCATAACAGCAACAACAAATCTAAAACACCTAAAAAACAGCTTAAGAAATGTACACAACCTTTATGAAGAAAACACAAAATTTACGGGCCGGCCCGGTGGCGCACTGCTACAGTGCGCCGCTTAGGAGTGCGGCGGCGCTCCCGCCGAGGGTTCGGATCCCACATACAGACCGGTTCCCGTTCGCTGGCTGAGCGAGGTGCGGGCGCAGCACCGAGGGTAGCA